TATGATGTTCTTGATGTCATCCCACAACTCTTCAGGTCTTGAGTCTTTAGAGCATAGAGGAGCAGTTTTTAGTATACTTGGAGAAATAAGGAAAATATTATAATTTAACAATTGATAAAGCATTCGTATGAACAACTAATACACCACTGACCAAGAGAAATTATTTTAAAAACCACTGAAGAAGTCATGGCATGATAAACATACAAAATAGACTCAATAAATATTGAAGATGAAAGGAAAGCGCATTTTAAAATTTCCAATTAGTACACATGGCCACATTTTTAGCCCAACAACAGACATGTCTATGCAAAGTATGTTTAAAGTTCCTGGCTTTATTAACCAGTAGTACAACACAGCATATAAAAATAAGCTAATCAGTGGTCATCTATAGAGTGTACTTGAAGGCATAATGGAGTTGGTGGTGTACTGTGGAGTTGGTTCCGACTCATAGTGACCCTGCATAGGATTTCTGAGGCTATAAATCTTTACAGGAGCAGAAAGCCTCATTTTTCTCCTGTGGAACAGCTGGTAGTTTTGAAATGATGACCTTGAGGTTAGCAGCCAGGCTTATATAACCACTACGCTACTAGAGCTCCTTGATAGGATGTTGTTGTTGTTGTTAAGTGCCATCAAGTCGATTCCAACCAATAGCGACCCTGTATAGGGTTTCCAAGGAGCAGCTGATGAGCTTGAACCACCGACCTTGCAGTTCAAATGGCTTTGCATTCTGGCACATTAACCCACAGCGCCACATCAGGATGCTGGTATGGTGCTATGGTTAGGATAGGATAGGATAGGATAGGAAAGAAGAGTACAAAACTCTCTTTAGGGTCTTACCGTCTATTTGGAGAGCGGTATCTGAATCAATGAAACAATCTGTAGTTTAAGTAAGATAATATTTAATATACTACCATAGATATGTGACCAGCCTTCTTGGGATTGAGCACTGACAAGTCTACAGTGCAATGGGAGGCTCTAATACTGCATTTCTCAATGAAGCAGGTTTGTCATAGAAAATGTAGTTCATATTCTCTATACAAAGTGTGATGATAGACTTTTTAAATGTGCTGTAAAAGTGCCTTTTCAGAGTGTTGAAAACTAAGCTTTGTTGGTTTGCTCACTTTCATAGAAAAATTGTGATGGAACCGGAGCATTGTACTTCATCGGATGTGGCTATAATGCTTTTCCTGTTGGATCTGAGTATGCTGACTTTCCCCATATGGATGATAAACAGAAGGACAGAGAAATAAGGAAATTCAGATACATTATACATGCGGAACAGAATGCCTTGACATTTAGGTATGATATTCTTTTTTTATTTTTTTTAATGTTTAACTGTGAATTATGTGATAGTTTACAAGGGAGAACATTAGCTTTACATTCATACTATCTTATATTGTTTCATTGTTATGGTTACAATCCCCTCCATGCATCATCAACCAACCAAAGGGTATATACTGGAAGCCTGCCCCATGGTCGTCAGCACACAGCCCCTCTCCCTCTTTGTGTCTAAAGCCCGGAGCCATTCCATCTCTCCACGTCATCATCTCTGCCTCCATCTCTGGTGTCACTGCTTCTCTGGTAGGGTCCCGCTCTCTGCTCTTCTCCCTTGATGGTCCCAGGGACCTCCTCTCCTAGACTGCATAGGGTATGATATTCTTTTTGTATTGTTTTGTTTTGAAGGTTTTTATTGTGGATTGAGTCAAAGTTTACAGGGCATATCATCAATTTTACATTCAACAAATCAAATACCTTATTTCATTACAATAATTATAATCCCCTCCATGTACCATCAGTTAACAGTATTTCTCTCTATCCACTTTAGCTTTTTAAAAAACAAACAAAAACCCCACTCAGGCATATATAATAATTTACATCTCCAAAGGGCACATTCTGCAAGTCTACTCCTGGCCACCAGTTCTTAGTCCTTCTCTTCTTGGTTGATGAATCTAGAGTCCTCAGCCGCTCCCCGTCTCCAATCCTCCATCTCTGCCTCCATCTCTGGTGCTGCTGCT